GAATGAATATAAACTACATGGATAGGAGTTCCATGTAAATCTTAGTTATATTTATACATTATAGCTATAGTACATTATTTTTTGGGGTACCACATACAAAGATGCTTAACGTATAGTTAATTATGACTACGAGTAATCCCATTACGCAAGTGTTGTATCTAAGTCATATTTAAGCATATAATACATTCTCAAAAGTTTTCTCTATATATGAGTTATATATATATATATATATATATATATATATATATATATATATATATATATATATAACTGAAAATGTTTGTGTTGACAAAGTTTATATAAATCAAGTTTGTCAAATCTACTTAACAAATCTCCTTCATTAGCTAGAGCATGAAAGTCAAGCTGGCGCACTAGGGCCTTCTTGATATAAATAGATGTATTTCATTGAAATTTAGTATTTGGATATTGGAACAATACAAGCAACACATATTGTAATGAGTTGATATATTGGATATAAGTCTTTTATTAAATAACTGTTGTGTTCTATATTACCAAGTTTAAGTCCTTCAATAATTAGGTTATTCTAAACGTCCATAGTCGTTAATAGCTGTGGGGGCATCTTTGAGGTAAGACTAATATGAGTAGATTGGTTGATTCACATGGAGATGAAAATAGCAAGAGCTGCTACTAACTTCATAGGTACTTGATTAAGAGAATAAGTATTGGACTTGACCTGCATCAAAATCACTTTATGGATCATAGCCATGAGTGATGTTTGATCAAGGTTGTATCTTTGTATTTATAGACCTGAGATACATATTTGGGAATTGAAGTGTAGGAATTATTGTGCGTTACATGGTTTAACACTGTTCTATAAAATTCAATCGTGAGGATCATCGTTGGGTATGACATGAACTACAACGATAGGCGTATGAAGTCAAGATGGTATTTGTTCCTCTTATTTGTTGAGAGTTAGACATTTAAGGTCATACTAGAAGTTAAACACTAAATGAGATTGATGGTGATCCATATCTCATGTTCGACATGGTGTTTGAGACAAAGTAATAACTAATACCACACCTTTAGTAACAATTGTAGCTAAGAGCTCCTGTAATTGGTTGTTGATACGATGGCACCCTTCATATGTTGTTAGGGGAAGTAGCCTGTTGCTAGACGTCAACTACTGTCTATATTAATTTGTAATGAATCGTGTGCAAGTGGGAGATTGTTGGATCTATATGCTCAAGAATCATTATTAAGTGATATTGATAATAATATATGATCCTATAGGGTCACACCTTTATCATGTTGGCAGATTTTGTATATTTATTATTAATATGATTATTAACAAATAATATCAATTTGTATATTTTTTAGGGAATAATTATTGTTTTGCGAAAATAATAATTAGAGAGAGTATAACCGGTTATTATATCATATGGTTCGATTTAATAAGTATGTACAAAGTTTTGGACTCTTTGGTTAACCAACATTAAGTTAATGAGTTAACATACTATGGTTAATAAACTGGTTAGAGAATTTTTGTCTTCTTCTTAAGCATGGCCAAAATCATTTTTATAATAGAAGAGGTTAGTTGTCAACTTTCTTCTTATGTCCTCCATGCTTCTAAAAGGCTTCCAATACTTTATGTTATTATAATGTAAATGTATGTCTTGCATGAGAGTATAAAAGGAAGGCTTTTTCTTGAGTTTTTGACTAGTTCTTTTACAAGTTTTCCTATCTTTTTCATTGTGGCTGAAACCACTCTCACCCTTCCTCTTCTTCTTGTCTTTTGAAGTATGTTGATGAAATGGTGCTCTAAAGTGCTTCTCCTTTAAAGCTTATTTGAGTTAAGCACTTAGAGGCTTAAGAAGTACTTTATAACAAGAATAAACTAGCATTCCAAGTGCCTTAATCTTGATGGTGGATACTTGTTGAGAAAATCATACTCTTTGATTTTTTTTATCTTCATCAACACCCCAGTAACGACCCAAAAATAGGGGTAGAAATTCTTTGCTTCAAACCTATTAGTTCCATACATCAAATGTCTCAGTATCAATCACTATACACAATGTCAAAACATTAGAGTACAAATAGCCAAAACTGTGGAATCATGAGGGGGGATGCAGTGTCATGTTCTCAGACTCTTCCCTTTCGAACCATAAGTACATGAAATCATAAATATAAAATGTAAGCATAAAATTTAGTGAGTTCCCTAAGTATCAGATACCAAACATACAACTAGGCCTAGCCCTACGATATATTCTAACCCAAATTACAATCATGGGACTAGCCCTGGGGTCTCTTTCAACCCATTACATACTCATGGGCCCAACCCCTGGGGTGTTTCAACCCAATAACACAATAATTGGCCCATACGTAGGTCCTAGCCATGGGGTTTATTTCAATCCAATCGTACAAACATGTAAGAGTCACAAAGACAGCTAGCATCCTACATACACAACTTAGTGGGCCAACATTGGTGCCTTCGACCCACAACTACATTAAGAAGACTCACCTCTCAGAAAATGATCAACTGTTATAGTTCTCACCGATAGAATATTGCTGCTACGCACCACCTATTCAATCATACCACATAAATCCTTAGCTCCTCTTTCAACTAGAGGGTTTGACCAAAAGTCAAAAAAGGTCAAAACTCAATGGTCAAAGTTGATTCGCCATGTCGTGGACCTTAATCAACAAAAGAAACGCGTTTTCTAAAGTCTCCACATCGTGGTGACCTAATCCACGTTGTGGCCACTGGGTTTTTAGCAGCTTAATGTATTAAGTTGTTTCTTTGATCCTAAGGGTTCCAAATTCAAGATTTGGTCCGAAACAAAGTCTAGAAGGATAAAGTTTCCAAATTTACCCGTTATGACCACCCAAAAGGTCAAAATCTCAAACTTTAGATTCAAATGAGCTAAATAAGACATGACTTTCTCCATTAATCACCTAATCCAAAAGTCCATATCTCATTTACACTAGAACATATGTTAATACCAAATCCAAGATAAAAGTTGGTGGTTTATAGACATGCATGTCCAATGCATGTATTGAATCCATAATGAGCCAAAAATGAGGGTTTTCCATGGAGCTATCATGCATGGATAAAAACCTCACACGAATCCAGATCCAACCCAACAATTATGTCAAAAGTCCCAGAGATTCATAAAGTTGCAAACTTTATGAGATCGTAACACTCTAAATCATACTAACATGAAGATTTAGGGACAAAACGTAAGATCTATCAACCTAGCATCATAAAAATTGAATATTGCACACTTACAAAGGTCCAGAGATTGCCAACACAAAGGATGGGGACTATCTTGTTGAATCTTATCTCACTTCATCTTCTTTCTTCCTTCCAAGGCTACAAAGAACATTAAAAAGGCTCAAATTAAGATATTGAGGGATTTAGGGTTTCTCAGATCTCAAAAAGGCTGATGGAGGCTGAAGGTGAGTAAACCCTAACCTCCTCATTCCTTTAAATAAGGAGCAAAACTCATAATATAGGGTTTCTCACTTTCCAGCTGCTACGTTGTGCCCTATGCTGCCACGTCGTGACAGTTTAAATAAAATATGTGGCCTGAACTAGACTCGCCACATATTGGCACCTCCCCACCATGTCTTGGAAAACCATAAAATATCCAAAATTTCAAAATATAAAATACCTCATGATTACAACTCTCCCCCACTTGAATCTGACTTCATCCTCGTAGTCTGTCTTCGAGAATAACTTGGAGAAATGCTCTCTCATCTCCTCCTCTAGCTCTTATGTCCACTCAAAACCCCTCCAATGTTGTCGTTGCACCTTCACCAAGTTTATCACTTTGTCGTCTGAACTCTTTGTCTTCCTGTCGAGAATCGCAATCGGTCTCTCCATATAATTCAGACGCTCATTGACCCGAATTTCATCCAATGGAATCACCCCAAAATGATTGGCTAAACACTTCTATAACTAAGAGACATGGAAAGTTTTGTAGATTTTAAAGAGCTCAATAGGAAAAATCTAGCTCGTATGCAATATTGCCCACCCCGACGCGGTAATACTGAAGGGTCCAATAAACCGGGGGCCCAACTTTCCCCGCTTTTGAAACCCATTGAAACTTTTCCAAGGTAACATTTTCAGAAGCATAAAGTCCTCCATGTGAAACTCGAGGTCCGAACAACGACGGTATACATAACTCTTTTACCGGCTTTGCGCAACTCGCTACCTGTCACGCACTAGTTGTATCAACTCGGTGGTCTTGAGCCCTCTTTCAGTACTCCCCATGACCCAATGTCCGACCTCGCCCCAACAAACTAGGGCCCTACACCTCCTTCCATACAACATCTTAAAAGTTCGTCGATCAATATTGGCATGATAACTATTGTTGTAGGAGAACTCGGCCAGTGGAAGGTATGTATCCCAACTCCCGCCAAAATCCAACATACACGCCTGGAGTATATCATCGAGCGTCTGAATCGTCCACTAATTCTGTTCATCGGTCTGGGGGTGGTATGTTGTAGTGATATGCAACTGAATACCTAAGTCCTCATGGAACTTCCCACAAAACGTGTAGGTGAAACGAACATCTTGGTCTGAAACCACTGAAACTGGCACCCCATGCCGAACCACCACATCCCGAATGTAAATGTCGGCTAGTTTCTTAATGGACATACTCTCGTCAATCGATATGAAGTGAGCGCTCTTAGTCAATCAATCAACAATGACCCATATAGAATCAAATCCACGCGTTGTCCATGGAAACTTTGTGATAAAATCCATGGTGATCTCTTCGTACTTCCACATGGGAATGTGTAATAGTTGCATATTTCTGTAGGGTATCTGATGTTGGCCTGACTTTTCGGCAAGTTAGGTACCGCGCTCTACAAACCATGCTATCTCCCTTTTCAATATAGGGCCCTAATAGCTCAACTTCAAATCCCTATACATCTTCGTGACACCCTGATCCGCTCTACCTTCCAATTTTCCTTTTTCAATTCTTTCACCTGAGCCTTCTTGATAATATCCAACAGAGGAGAAATAATAACCATCCTCATACATATATCCCCCGATAGGTGCACTCAGTACCTTCCACTGGCAGGCGATCATGTTTTTCATAGGATTTATCGTTACTCATGTCAGCATTCTCACTTCTGATATCTCCAGCTCTTGTCACCAAAAACCATCCCCGAGTTTGCTGAGCTTCTTGTGGATCAGTTTCACCATTTTTCTCTGCATCATTTACTAAAATAGTGATCTTATTATTACCTATTCTAGCAAAACCGCCCATCAGAGCCATCGTTAGCCATTGGTCGTTAAGGCGTATTCTTAAAATACCTATATCCACTGATGTAGTAATAGGAGCGTGATTTGGTAATACGCCAATTTGTCCACTATTAGTAGATAAAATGATTTCTTTCACTTCTAAATCCCAAACTATTCGATTAGGTGTCAATACATAAAGATTTAACGTCATTTCTTCAAATTGCTCTCCATTTCTAAGTTCATAGCCTTCACCGTAGCTTCATTGATGTTACCTACGAAATAAAAGCCTTATTCAGGAAGACCATCTAATTCTCCGAAAAGGATTAATTGAAAGCCCACGGTCGGTGCTCCTTTCTCAAACCAGAACAACTCTAAACGTTAGGAAGATAAGGGAGGATCGCCTGAGTGAACTGACTGAAGGGACTTTACTTATCCGAACCGAATGATAACGACTTAAAGCTAAGAGCAACGTTGCTGATTGATCGACGGGGAGGAGCAATTTCCAAGTATGGGGCAAAGGATCAAAGGCTTTTACTTTGTCACCCGGAATCCACCACAGGTTGGGTTTGGTTAAAGAGCCTAACATATCTAGGTTAAGAGATAATTGAGCATGCCATGACATTGTTAGGATCTCATATAGGCCGTTATGGCCCTGGCCCGTAAATGGACTTTTATGAGCTTCTAAAATATCTTTTAGACCATGATCAATGCCCCAGTTGGTCCTATACATGTGAACCGCTTTTAGAAAAAGTACATAACTTGATCATAATTGTGTTTAGTTATTTGTCTTGATCATAGATAATAATCTTAAATAGTTATGATATAGCCCAATTATCTTTAATAATCAATTTTGTGTTTACTTGTGTATGATCATTACATAGTAGTTCATGAATTGATTAAAATATTAGCAGATCGGATCAATACTGCTAATTATATTTATATTAGTAACCAACATAATCAATCCATGTTTAGAAACTAACCATAGGAAAAAGGGGGATTCAAAGCTAAACGAAAGTGTCTTCATAATCTTGATAACAATCACTCTTAGTCATGTGTTTGCTTAGTTTCTAATTAGTTGAATATTTAAGTTAATATGAAATGGCCAAATCAGATAAAAAAAACCCCTTTTTAGTTATTGTTTTTAGATTAATTTTTAGTAGTTATTTTGTGAAAACCCGAAATTTCTATCTTGTACAACACTTAAAACTCAATCAAAGTCAGACTTGTTCCTGCTATCTTCTAGCAGTAGTTAGGGTCTGTTTGAGCATTGTAAACCTAGTACATCCAAAGAATGAGTGATAGGAAGTGTCAGTTGAAGTTCAAAACCATCAAGCAAGCCATAAACCCCTTTCATGAGGAGTTTACGGCCAAGACACATGAGTTTACGTCCGTAAACTCATGGTGGCCGTAAACTCTTGGCTATATATGTGATACTTGGCCATTTTTCAACACTTGTACCATTTCCAAGGCAAGAAATCGGGTTTTGCTCTCAACTATCATCAAGGATCTTCATTTTCTTCCAAAAATGTAAGTGATTTATCCTTTGATTAGTTACTACATCTTCTTATCAAGCATAGCCCCTTTGATTCCATCCTTTTAACATCATCTTTTGGGTTAGATCTTCAAGAACACCAAGAACACGGTAGTGTTTTGGTCCAAAATCAACCTTTTTAGCTTCTATATCGTAAGTATTACTTCCCTATACTTGATATCTAGTAAGATCTCATGCTTAGCACCTTGAAATCGTCCAATATCCATGATCAAAGAGAGTTTGTAGCCAAGACCATCTCCCTTGCCCGTAAACCCTTATTAATGGTGCAAATGTGGTCATAACTCTTCCTAGGGCTTGGACTTAAGGCTAGAACACTTCCTTGTGGTTTGTAAGACCTTAAAACACCTTTTGGGCACAAATCATCATGAGTTTACGGTCGTAAACTCATGAGGCCGTGAACACATGGTCGTAAACTCTTGTGGCCATGAACACATGGTCGTAAACACCATGGTGTGGCCTTAATGTCACACCCCCGAAACCAGACGGTAGAAACGTCCGAGGGCTCACGTGACTTAAATTGAATATCATCACAATGAATATACATGAATCATAACATAAACATCACCATGCATCAATACATTAAATCGGATATTGTTTACATCCAGTACATTGTTTTAAATATTACACATTCATAACATAAATTGTTTGAGAGTTTTCAAAACATGACATCCTAACATACTTGATATTACCCTTCCGCTTACCTGTTACCTGAGAATACAAGTTATTTTGAAAAACGTCAACATATGAAATGTTGGTGAGTTCATAAGCAGGGTTGTGATAAAAATGATTTGTGTAGTTTGTAAAAAAAACCAGAAAATCCGATATTTTATGAAAAGACAATAGTTTACTGTAACAACCGTCAAAAATCGAGTCGGTTCTAGATTTGAATAAACTTAGTTGCACATATAGGCACGACACATACTAGACTTAGTAACTAGAAGTTAAGATATAACCTATTAGAAACTTGGAAACAGTTAGAAACAATGGATAATATGCTTGGATTTCACATTGGTATGTGAATTCTACTACTACTTAACTGTAGAGACTATCCATATTCGGGTCACTCTTTGACTCGAACACCATTTCATGAATCATATACACACATCCTGCACTTGACCTAGAAGTAGAAGTTAGTTCAAAGTCTCATAGAAACTTAAGTCAAAGTTGAAGAGTAGGACTAGTATACTTGATTCCTCAATTTCGCTTGAATCTTGGAATCACTACATAGAATGCCAATAAACCGCTAAAAATAAATTACAAACATTATTTATAACTATAAAAGAGTTATAACACCATAAGATAATTTAAATTCTCAAATATTCTATTTATTTTGATATCCAAAGATTTACAAAATCTCAAGACCCTAAAAGCCATAAAAACTCATATTTATAAATTTAACCTTAAAAATTCTATAAAAATAATTATGAAACTTATAATATGATCTTATAATAATTAAAATTATGAAAATTCATTCAAGGAAAATAAAATTTAACTCATTAACATTTACCCTTAATTTATAAATAAAAAATCAAGGTTTTATGAATAAAAACTTGATTTTAGTGCACATTTTATATAAAATTTAGATATTTTATAAAATAACTTAAATTTTATAAAACAAAATGAATGAGAAAGGGTTATTATACTCAAAATTTCGGACCCCTCTCTTCCCATATCTCTCTCTCACACTCTCATTCTCCAACACACACACATCTCTCTTCTTTCTCTCTCTAGAAAACTCTCTCTACCTTCTCTCTAATTTTTTTCTCCAAACACCACAACCACAGCCTCTTAACCACCAAATGGAGATTCATAAGGGTTTTTCAAGCCACAAATAAATTTAAGGTAAAGAACATACATCTCTTGAAGATCCACAACAATGATTTAAGCCATGCATGTGCATTTTACTTCAAAAACCGACTTCTACTTCTTCATCTTCTTCAAACTTGTTTTCTTTTTGTTAAAATGGTTTTTATAACATCATGGATGTGTTTTAACACCATGAATGTATGATAAACAAGGTTGCATGTTCATGATCTTAGTGCAAAAATTGATTTTAAGGATTAAAACATCAAACTCAAGTTAAGAGTTTTTGAGAAACAAAATTTTGTTCATAAATGAATGTATATATTTTGATAAGTTTTAATCTTTTGATCTCTGGAAACATGACTAGAATATAAGTTTATCATGATATCTTTTAAAATATTTCAAAAGATTTACTCAAAGAAATGATGAAAACTCATTTTTCTAACCAATCACCATGCATGCAATCTGCCAGATTTCTTTACCTGACTTTAAACTGTCATATCTCACTCATTTCTTAACCAAAATTCGGGATTCTTTTTCTGAAATATAATATTTTGAGTTAGCCTTCAAACCCATCTGACGTCACTGGAAAATTCAAATCTTTCGATTTTTAGCAATTTTTACAAAACTGTTGCTCAATCAGCACCTTTTTGTGAATACTAGTTTTGTATTGCATGTTCAAAGATCTTATTCATCACTAAAAATCAAGTAAAAATTAACTTGAGCACTTAACATCATGTATTAAGAGTTATAAAAATATCTTGCTTCAAAAGCCTTTGGAACATGTTGCAAAAATTCTCAAAGTAACATCAATAATTTTTACCAAAATCACAAGAATCAACTTTTCTCTATAATTGTTTGAGCCTTTAGGCATGTTTTTCGACATCAAAAATAAGAAAACAATTCTTCATTGTTATTAAATTGTTTGAAGTTGCATTCTGGAAATTTTCAGCTCAATATATATTTTCTTTATTTTTACATGAAAATAATAATAAAATAGAGTGTTAAAGCATATAAAATACTTAAACTTGTAAATAAATTCTGGAAATATTTGTGGATAACCCTTGAAGATAATAAACATCTCTCATAAAGTTTCATCGATTTTTGTTACTGTTTAGTATGGTTTTTAATTTTCTTTTTATTTAGCTCTAATAAATCATAAAACCACTTTAGGGAATGTGAAAATATTATTTCTTATTTTTCGCAGCTTGTACCTTATATTTAAGACTCCGAAAAATAGTTTGGGAATTTTTGAAAATGTATATCTATTTTTCTTGAATTTTTGTTTTTATAATGGACTAAAAACAGGAAAAATAGTTTTACTCATCCAAAATTCATGAAAATTTACCAGAAACTCTTATAATATGTTAGGATGATACATAAAAGTTTTGATGATTTTTATCTTCTGTATGCTATTTTTCTTCTATTTTCCCAAGATTTAATACACTTAAATGTACAAAAATCAGAACAATTGTGTTAAACTTTTTGAAAACACATATTAATATTTTTCCTAGATTATGTACACTGTAAAATAGTTACACAAAAATTACAAGAATTTTTCATGATAATTTACTATTTTTCCATGATTTTATGATTATTCATGGAATTAAATGGTGAAAAATAGTTAGATAAATCAAAAATTCAAGAAAATTTATCTTAAGGTGTTTGACTTCAATTAAAAATGAAATACAAAGTTTGGGAAAGTTTAGAACTAAATTGATTTCGTTTTGAATATTTAATCATTGGAACACCTCTAAAATGTTAAATATTAACATTTCAATAATGGAAATTTTCCACTTAAATTGTTATATAACAATTGATTCTTTGAAACTTAATTTCCACAGAAAAATGTTTGT